ACATCAGCCAGGCACTCCCTGAGCTGAAACGCTGCAGGACTCAGCGCCAGACAGGGCTGCATATATAGAAACTTGAAATGCTCCCAAGCATCCATTTCTGCCCAATAATTTATTGGAATCAAAAAGTTTCCTATCTGCAAAAGTCTCATTCTCCAGCTCTCTACAAAGGGCAGCTCTTCCCAGCTCTCTGCCCAAAGATCTATTATCAAAGATTTATTTCAAAAGAAATATCTGCCCTTCCTCCCTTACTAATATTCCCAAATTTATCTATGTCCTACTTAACACCTCCTCTGGAACCAGGAAGCAAAAAGCTATTTCTGCTGGACTCAATCAGTGGACTCTGCTGAATCCCAGGGAACACACACCAGATACCAGGCTGAGTTTAAATCCTGGGATGGATTGCTCAGGCAGCAGCCTCCCCCTTCCCCAGTTGTTCCCAAAACCTAATCAGGAGCCAAGAGGAAGATAATAATGAAAATAGATAAATAAATAATCATTTTGTATATTCCCCACATCTTCTAAGCCAAGCCAAATTTGTACACTGAAGTTGCATTCTCCTGGCTGTAAAAATACATATCTGCCCCCTCTTCTGCCTCTGCAGCCATCTGGGAACCTGAAATCATGCATCCTCATGGGAGTGAATCATAGAGCAGCCACACTGACTTCCTGCAGAGACACAAAATCAACGGTAAAAAGTGAAGAAGACCCTTAAATTTTCCTCAGATTGGCACAAGACAGACTTGGACCAGCCACACGTGTGGGCTGGTGTCTCAAGAGTCTCCAGCTCCAGTCAAAACTCTCAGCTCTGAATAAGCCCATAGTATTAGAATCTGCCCAGATGCACATGAAGCCTGATCTAGCAACTTATTTGCAAATAAATGGCTCCCTTTCATCCACCCACAGATCTTCTGCCCAGTGTTTTCATCTTCACTCCAGAGCTGTTTTCTTTCTCTCTCTCTTATCTTCTCCTCCAGCATCAGCTGTGGCAGCAGATTGCTCTCACTAATCAAAGATGGGCTGGGCTCTCTCTGTGTGCTCCTTGTGGCCCTACAGTAACTCCAGCCAAACGTTTGTTTTCATTAAAGCTCCTCCCCGAGCTGCCAGCAGAGCCTGGGCTGCGCCAGGACACAGCAGAGAGGGACAATTCTGCTGGTGTGGCTCTGCCTTAGGGACAGTGATGCCCCCAGTCCATCACCTACCAGAAGGTGCCTGCTGCTCTCTGCTGCTCTCCTGCCACCTCCTGCCGAGGAAGGGAGCTGTCCCTCACTGCTGCCATTCCCTCGGGTTTCTCAAAGGGATCATGGAGATCCTGGAGTGCCACACTCAGTGCTGCTCACCCACTCCCACAGGAGGTTTGTCTGCAGGGCTTTTTGGGGAAGAGTGATGGATGGGGCAGGATGCAGCATCATGGGCATGTCCTGGCACACGGGACGGCACTGCCCAATGCAGGGCAGCACACGGGATGGCACTGCCCAATGCTGGGCAAAGGAGGGGCCTTTCCCCAGCACCAGCACAATGCACTGCATTTTCATGGTGTCATTGGGGGAGACAAGGAGCACTTCATCCCCTTCCACACCCTCTGATGTGTGGCAGGGAGCCAAATCAACTGATTTCAGTGAGGAAGCCAAAACCTCCTGCAGTCTCATCAGATGAGGTCCCTCAGACTCCCCAGTTCAAGGTGAAACCCTGCTTTAATAACTCCTCATCTCCTGCATCAGACCCTCAGCCACCAGGACTTGCAAAGGGAGTGATCCTGACTCCAGACAGGTCTGTGCCACATCCTCCCAGGCTGGGAACTCTCAATCTCCTGTGCAAACCAGTCAGTCCCGTTTCTCCCCCTTTCCATCACCATTAACATGTAGGAGATCTCACCCTTTGATTTTGAGCCTGCTCCTCCCAGCAAATTTTGTACTTTACTCATTTCCATAGAAGAAGCAATGTGAAATTAGATTCTTACTTTTTTTTGTGGGGGCATTCCCCAATTCTCCTCCCTGTGTCCAAAGGTGGGACAGATGTGGCTGCAATTGCCTTAGGACCAACATCAAAGTAGCTGCTGGTAGTTCTATGGTGCTGCCCAAGTGTAGGTCAGGGTTTTGTGACTGACCAGCAAAGAGATAACACGAGCTGAACCCACTCTGCTCTCTCCTGGCTGCTGCTGAGGTCCAAACTTTCAGAAAGTTTGCTTGTGTGCATTCGTGCTTTGTGGTAGCAGCACAAACTGAAATTAGGAGCACCATCCTGGAGGGATTTAGAAACCCATCACAAGAGCACAGCCTTCATTTCCTGAAATCAAGGTGGGCCCTCAAAGCCACCTCTTCACCTCCTCAGAGCAGAGACCACCACATTTCACCCCATCCTTGCTCTGCTGAGCACAGGAACATGTGCTTGGCTGACTCCCACATGGGGAGAGGCATCTTATCTGGAATAGAGAACACTATCACATGGGAAGACTTTCACTTTCCTCAGTAATTTGTTCCAGCAGCTAATCAACTTCATTCTTTAAAAAATTAATGCCTATTTTCTCATTTCAATTAGTCTGCCTTCAGCCTGCAGCTGTGGGTTTGGGCTGCCTCTTCTCTCTGGCTTACACAGCTCGTGGGTACCTGCCTTTTCTGCCCATGGAGCTATTTGTGTATCTACACAATTTTCTTTGGCTAAAGAAAGCCTAAGAAAGCCTAAATTCTAATCTCAGGCAGCACTTTGGGGATTTTTTCATTCTGCTCCTCCCTGAGGATGTGCTGTCCCATGAAGTTTTCTGCACTCACCTGCCCAAGGCATGCACCCCTGCATTTTACATCCTCCCGTGGTCGTGGCTGCTCCAGGAAACACAGCTTTGCACAAACAGCTGATTTCAGAGCAGAATGGTGACTGCTGCTGATCACTGCAGATAAAGGCCACTTGTGGTGAGCCCCACGTCCGTGCTGTGACCAGCTCTAGTGGCAGCTGAGCCAATGCTGAGGGAGTGCAGCTGTCCTGGAGCCCTTCCTCTCCCTGCACAGCTCCAAATCCCATCCCTCTGATTCACTGCTCTCTGCACCTCCTAACCAGTCTTCTCATCTGAGTTTTGACCACCTCCTGCTCCCTTTTTTTCCCTTCCTTTTCTACTGATGCTCTCTTGATAAAACCACTTGTCTCCTAGAAAGTCAGAGAGTGAGGTGTGGCTGTTTCCTCATCACCGTCCCTGCCTCCCTCTCCCTCACAAGGACTGCCCACCTCCCCCTGTTCCTGTCCAGGATAAATGCATCATTATGAGAACATTTAACCACAACACCAGCGCTGTTTACCTGTGCTGGTCAGTCAGTGGGCTGGAAGCCAAGCCAACTACTAATTTTTAAGTTTACAAGAGGTTCAACAAAAAAATAATTGTGCATTTTGGGAGCACACTGTATCAGTGCATCTGGTTTTCCACTTCACAGCTTCCTCGTGTAGGAGCTGACTCTTGTTATGGCTCTAAACATGTTGATGGTGTACTCAGAGCAACTCATAAATACATAATTTAAGTAATTAATACAAATAAAGTCTCATTACAAGCAGCAACCAATTAAAACAGCTCAGAGGGCATCTCCTGTGCCTTGGGTAGCAGCTGAAGTGGAAGAAGATGCTGTTGCAAGGCCTCAGAATTCCCTCCTGCCCTTCCCACACGCTGAATCTCAGGAAGGTTTCCCACAAGGAAGATTCACGAGCAGTGTCTGCTGCCAGGAGAAGCTGCTGCTTTGCCTTGGCCTGATTATGAGAGCAGCAAATTAGGGCAATTTTTCACCAGTGATGCTGCCAGTGCCTTCAGAGCAATGCAGGTCCCAGGCACGCAGGCTGCAGCAGGGATGCTCTCATCCTGCTGCTTGCTAATCCTGCAGCATGGCATGCAGTCATCGGCCACGACAGGTCCAGGACATCCTGGTGGCCCTTGCAAGCCCCAAGGTTGTGCTGGGTGCGCAGATGGCATTTGGGCTGCCAGCACTGCTACAGCCCCTGAGGCTGTAAAATATATTTTTTTTCCTAATGTGAGTTTATGTCACTTAGGGACACACTTGCGTCCCAGCCCGGGTATTCCTTCTTCCTCCCATCCAGGGATGGCAGAAGTGAGGGATCAAAGCGCTGAAGAGGATCAAAACATGAAAGGCAGAATAAATGAAGCCATGAAGAAATGGGAACAGAGATCCACTCCTTCAATGTAATTAACCTTTCCAAGAACAGATAATATTCCCGAATTAAAGGACATCGTGGGACACAGAAATGCATCCGGGTCATGTGGGAGCGATGCTGCGAGCGAGGCATCAAGGCGAATGCAAACACGGCTCCAGGGCGGGGATGGCACCAGCCACCGGCACAACCAGTCCCCAGACATCCCGGCTCTCGTTGGAGCGCAGATTAAAGGGTTCCCACCCCCCGGCAGCGCCGCGCTGCTCCGCCCGGGCTCTCTGGGGAGTGCGCTTCCCCAAACCGGGGCTGCGTGCGCTCCCTGCCCGCTCCGGGCTCCGGCAGCCCAGCGGGACCCGCCGCCACCGCCGGGCCCGTCCCGACCCCGCACCCCGTGTCCTTCCTGCACCCCGTGTCTGTCACCTGCACCCCGTGTCCTGCTCCCAATCTCCATCTGCTTCGCGCACCCCGTGCCCTTTCCGCGCCCCGTGTCCTGTGCCTCCAACCCGTGTCCCCTCCCGGACTCGGTATCCCTCTCTCACCCCGTGCCCTGTCCCTGTTCCCCCGTCCTGTCTCTATCCCCGTGTCCCTCTCTCACCCCGTGTCCTATCCCTGTCCCCGTGTCCTATCTCCGTCCCCCTGTCCCTATCCCCCAGTCCTGTCCCCGTGTCCCGTCCCTGTCGCGGTGTCTCCTGTCCCGGCCGCTCCCCGCGGGCGCCCCCCGGCGGTTGCCCCTGGCGCGGCAGGAGGCGGCTCTGCGCGGCCGCTCGGCGAATCCCGCGGGCTCCCGGCGGCGGGGCCGAGCCCCCCTTTGCTCCCCCTTTTCTTCCTCCTCCTCCTCCTCCTTCTGCTGCTGCTCCTCCTGCCGCCGCCGCCGCTGCCGGGCTCCGCTCCGCCTCGCCAGCCCCGAGCCGGGTGCCCCGGCCCTGCCGCTCCTCCCGGCCTCCGCAGTCCCGGCCCGGCCGGCGGTGAGTGCTGTCCTGTCCTGTCCTGTCCCCCCGGGCAGATCGGGGGTGTCGCGGGGTCGCCTCAGCGGGGGAGGGCACGGCCAGGCGGGAAGGAGGGTCCGGGCGGCCCCGGAGTGCGGCGGGACCCCGGGTGGGTGACGGGCACCGCCCCGGGGTGACGGGCACCGCTCCGCGGGTGAGGGTGGCCACGCTCGGGGCATCTCCCGGGGAACGAGCAGCGCTTCCCGGCCACAGCATCGCTCCGCGGTCCATGGTGGCCGTGCTCGGGGCATCCTCCCCCGGTGGCGGCGGGTCACGCTTTAGGGCATCCCCCTGCGGGGGCTGGTGACCGCGCTCGGGGCATCTCCCGCCGGGGATCAGGGACGGCGCTGCGGGCAGCATCCCCAGGGCTCCGGAGGTCCTGCCCGGGCACTCTCGGTGCACCCTCCGGGGGTTTGCGGTGCCGGGCTGAGCTCGGTGTTCGTGCTTGGTGCATCGTCCCAGAGTGCTGGGGGACTCATTCCCTCCCTGCACACCCACCCGTGTGATTCCCGCACCGGGGACCAGCATCCACAGCCCCTTTTCCACCTCAGCGGGGCCGGGGCTGTTCAGGTGTCCCAGGAGCAGCTCCTGCAGCCCTTCCAGAACATGCCTCGCACGCAGTAGCCCCGATCAGCGCTGGCTGCTGATCAGCTACAGGCGGCCCCTACCGTGGCTTTGGGCTCTGTCGGTGTCCTCCCCATCCATGCTGGCTCCGGTAGTTACACCCCGGAGCCCCTTCCTTCCCCTGGGCTGTGAAATGCCCACAAACATCCCCGACCTGGCGGCACCGCTTAAAAAGCTCTGGCTGCGCTGGGAGCAGGCGGCACCGCATCCCCGAGCCTTTTTACCTTTTCACCTCGGGATGAGGCGCTTTCACTCCGCCCGTGCTCCAGGGAATACCCACCCTTGGCCGTACCTGTTTGGGAGTTCATCCGTATGGAAAACGCAGCCGCTTCCCTGGCTGACACCGGGGCTGTCTCGCAGAGACCATTTAGTCTGTCTAGACAAGTATGATGAAGAGCAAAGTGCCTGGAGCTGAGTGATTAGAGCTCGGCTATCTCTGCAGTGCTGCGTTTGTTGTACAGCTCTGATAGATGCTGCTCCGTGCTTTTGGATCTCTGGTTAGCGAGTGCACAGCACGCAGACATGGATTGTGGAGGATTGTTTCATGTCAGAGGCAGGGAAGGAGAACACAGCCAGCCCTTCATCACATGTGTGCATGGGAGAAGCAGCACAGGCACTTGAACCAGACTAAAATGAACAGAGAAAACTCTGAAAATGGTGAATAAATGGGTGATGAGGGGGAGGAGGGGGAAAGGCACGTACTGCCAGCTTACTTTCTGCAGGCTAGCACAGAGAAGTTCATGAATGTTTGTGTGACACTTAGAAAGCCTCAAATGGCAGGCACTGAAAAATAGGGTAGTGCTTTGTACGAGCATAGAATAAATAAAACCTGTGGAAGAGAAGGCTGAACCGAGGGATAATGTATGTCCTCAGGACGTATTAAAATGAAGCACAGCACATTGAGAGAGCAGGCTTTAACATAAAACAAAATCAAAGGCAAAGTGGACGTGTATGTGTTCTTAAATACTTAAGAACACTTAAATAAGAATATTTAAATAAGGACAAAAGGAAGCATCTGCCTCCATCTTAGGTATTTAATGACCTTTACAAGTCTTGTCTTTCACCTTGCAAACCTTTTTTGCATATTGTGGAGTTGTCCATCTAAGTTGTCCAGCAGTCCAAGTTAATTAATGAGGCAGATTCCTGGGAGGACAAACTTCCAGGGCTGAGTCTTGCAGCAGAAACACATCAATCACAGCTCCAATAGGACAGGCAGCTTCTCCTCCTGGGAACTGCACGTGTGAATCCCTGAAGCTTTCCACAGCACCAGGAATGACTCTTCCCAAGACCATCTGTTTCTGAGCCACAGACATATTCTAGAGACATTACACACAAATATTATTGGGATCTGGCACTACGTGAGGCCAGAATGCTTTTTCTGAGTTTCTGGGCTGGAACACTCACAGATCTGACTCAGTGCTCTGTGGCCACTTAATGCCAACTGGACAGAGGATGCCAGAGCTCCATGGGGGTGCAAGCAGAGGGCTGAGCAGGTCCAGAGTGGATTTTCTCTGTGAGCAGAGGGGATTGGTTCTGAAAACTGCTGAGTATCTCAAAACCAGTCTGAGCCTGGGCAGAGAGATTTGGTGTGACCCCAGGAGCTGAGCCTACTCAGCAGGCAAAGCCTGGCTCTGTGTTGAGCTCCGTGAGGAAGGAGCTGGACCAGTGAGAATTTTATTTGAGCAGAGCCTCTCAGTCAAGAAAAATCTCTTTCTATACCTGTAAACAAATAAATTGAGAAAATTGCTTTCAGGCTGTCATGGGTGCAATACTGGGAAGCACTGAAAAGGAGAAGCTGGGTGTCTGCAGTAGCAGACACCCAGTGCAAATCTCAGGGAAAGAGCTATTAAGTAACTGGAGCATGTGTTGATAATTAGTTATCGCTCATTATGTTTGCTCTGGGCTTTCCATTTCTGTTGACTGGCGATGAATTTTCTGCACTATCACTGCTTGTTTACAGTACAGCACCTACCAAAGGTAATTAATCAGTGTTAAGAGACCCTGCTAATGTCCCTCTGACACACAAAGAGCCAGGTAAAGTCAGTTTGCCTCCAATTACTTCACAAGAGCTGAGAGGGGAAGGGAACAGAGGGAATCTCCTTCTGTGCATCTGCAGTGCCTTTGGAAGAGTCAGAACTAGAAGTTACTTACAAGTTAGCTTATAAAATAAATAACTTTAGAAAGACCTTAAAAATTATACAATCTTTGCAATGTTAGGGTCAAATTCTATACAATACCAAATAACTTCATAATGCACTGAGTGCCCTTTCTGGACCTGTACATGGAATTTCTTCACACAAGACCATCCCTATCTTGTCAGAATATCCCAAATGAGCTCACACTGTATGATATTGCCCTGGCCTTTGGAAATCATCCTGTTACTGTCAGCCCCAGGCATATCTATCCAAGAAAGCAATGTCAATATATTAGAGAATAAATGACATATCTATGAATTACAAACAGAATAATTCATAGGTAATTTTCAATTACAGAGAATAATTTATATGTGTCTGATTTGCAGAGAGAATTATTTATGAGTAACCTGAATTGCACATGAAGCACATTAACAGGTTACTGTGGGAAAGGGAGTGTACAGACTGCTCAGGTGTCTCGTGCTGAGCCTGGATTTTGGGGTGTTTCTTGTGAAAACACTCACCATGAAAACACAATCTGTCAGTTCCATAGTAAAGAGATTTGTGTAATGTGCCCAATCTGGTCTGAAACCTCAGAGTGGTGCTGAAAGCCTCAGGGAGCGTGTTGGATCTTCTGCCTTGTGGAGCACCACGAGCAGAAAGGCCACAACTGGGGTCCTACAATATAATCCTTGGGGAAGGCTGGAAAAGACAGGCAGGAAAAAACAAGGAGCCAAGTGCCAAAACCTTTGGGTTCTCTGTGTCTCCTCTGCCCTGTGTGGAGGTGATGATGGATGCTATGAAATATGCAAATAACAGAGAAAAAGAGGAAAATCTCCAGGGACTGGATGAGATCCCCAGCAAGGCTCCTTCCCTGCCCCTGGATCCTCCACATGTTCCATCCTGCACACGGGGACTTTGGTTGCTCCTTCACATCACAGAATCACTGAGGTTGGAGAGACCTCCAAGATCATCAGGTCCAACCTTCATGGATCTCATGTGGTCCAACACAGGGTTTACTCTTGGTTTAGGAAAAATTACAATGTTAGCAAATGGCTGTGAGATGGAGCAACAAAATGTGTACTGGCAACAGGATGTTTTCCTAATGGTAAAATAAAAGAACAGGAGTGGATATGGGGAGTGTCTCCACTTGCAGCAGATCTCTAGATTATTATTTTGCTTAAAGCATTTTCCTAAGTACAACTACAAATTACTGGCCTTTTAAACCAAAGGAGTTACTTTCTCCTCCCCAGGACTTGCTGGTCAGGTCCCACAGCTTGTTATTTAACAAGGGGCCAAATCAGCTTCTTTAAAGGCAGAACATCTTCTGAAATACCTGAAGGGCAGAAGGATGCATTGGTGCTTGCACTTCTTCATCCCCACCTTGTCATCTTAAAAACTGAGTTGGGAAAGAAACTATCCAAGCCCAAGTGCCATTCCCTCCTGAGCCTCAGGGAGTTACACCAGGCACCCTCAGCACAAGAACTAAAATTATAAAGCCCTGTAGCTCTGCTCCAGTTAAATTAAACACCACATCCATATATTAGACTGAGACAAACAACATCTACTATGGCTAATGTGGTAAAAGAGCTTCTGTTTTCAACCACTAAAGTTGGTCCATAAAATTTTTCTGAAGCATTAATTTTCTCCATTGAAGTATTTTAGAAAACTTACTAAAGAGAAGTAATTGTCTTGGATTTGGGGAGTGTAATGGGTTGAGCTGTTCTGTTGGAAGCAAAGCCAGACTCTCCAGGAGAAGGAGGCACATGCAATTCCAGACTGAATTCCTGCAAATGCCTCCCTGTGCCTGAGCTTTTGAACCACTACAGCGTAGTCATGGGCACCCTTGGGCATGAGGAGCATCACAAAACAGCCATGGACACAGCTGGAATGTCTGGAGCTGGGTGAATGTCCCCTTTTAGGAAGTCTAGGGGAACAATGTATATCCCATAGCTTTGGGCTCACACTGCACTCCACGAGGGACCCTGAGGGGAACACTTACAGGACTGTGCACTCATTGTATTTGCTGTCACATACATCCACTCTTTGCTGCTTCCCATTTAGCTGAGAAAAATCCATTCATTTTCTGACCAGCTCTCCCTCCCCAGGCCAACACTCCAGTTGTTGCCCAAAACATTAATGAAAGCAGCTCATGCTTCCAGAAACTGAAATTTAAATCCTTTAACACGATCAGTCTCGACCTGGACCAAGTGCAATGTCTCTTCCTTGACTTGCACTGGGCAGGCAGCAGCATCACAGGGAGCTGAAAATTGCTAAGAGCTCCCAGTGGACATTCTGCAATCACCAGGAAAAGGATGCTTGGATTTAACGTTGTGCAGAACAAGTGAAATCTTGTCCATTAGGAAAATGCCAATCTTCACCCTAATCCAAGGCAGAACTCCTGATGACCTGCTGGGGTCAGACTCTCTCTTTGTGCTCCCAAATCTGGAAGGAAGTCGGAAGTGTAGAGATTTGGGTCACCAAGTGCAGGGAAACTTCACAGAAACTCTTGCTGCTCCCTGGAAAAACCTGCTGGAACAATTTGGACAATTTTGGGCAGTAAGAAGAACAGAGAAAATATCACAGATTTTTTTCTAAACTTTCACTGGATTAGGAACCTTGTAGCACTTCAGGTCCCCCCATGCCACCTGCTGTCAGCCTTTAATGCAAGTGAAATACAAAGCTTGCAAAAATGAAAGAAAACTGCTTTTCCACTCCCTCTCCAAGCTACACACCCTTAGAGACAGAAAAGATCACACTAAATGAGCCCTTTTAAGGACTACCAATACACACACAGCTCTTCCCAAGGGTTAGATGAGAAGGAATGCACTGTTAATTTTAATGGGCTGCCACTTTCCTCTCACAGTGCAAACCACCTCTGCATAACTGAGGAGAGGCTTTGGCTCATGTTGGTACTACTTTTTTTAAATATTGAATTTTCTTAATCATATTGCTGTCCTCAGGGGCCACTGAATGCCACTTGCCTAGCAGAACTAGGCTAAAGACCTACTTAAGTTATATACTGAACCAGTTCCTCCTTAAAATATTTAATCTCTCTATTTTTTTCCCCTGTGATTGAATGCTGCTGCTAGAGCAGTGATGGTCAGCAGCTGATGCATTTGGTGTCAGAAAGCCAGAAAGCTTTTCTGGCTCCTTTTAAGTTACTATGAACTTGCCTAGAGGAAGGTAACACTGATTCCTGGAAACCCTAGGCTTTTGTGCACATATTCCCCAAATTTCCCATTCTGCTGTGAACAGGTGGAGCACTTACCTGTGGTAGGCAAAAAGCTCAAAGCACTGCTCCAAAATGCTCCAGTTCTGCTTGGCACGGTCTCCTTACAAAAAGGAAAAACCCAGACATGGATTAGTCATGGGGGGTTGTGCTTCGTTTTCTCTTTTTCTTCCCTCTCCCCAAGGTGTTCACTGGCACCTCCCCAAGTGCATAAACTGCAGTGGGAAATAGGTGCTAGGAATAGGAATAAGGAATAGAAGTAGGAATAGGAATTCTGCAGCTTTGGGGAATACTGGCCTTAGACAGGATCCTGGAGAGGATATTTCCAGGATGCTCCAAATTAGTTTCTTTGTGCTGCAGGCTTTCATTTGCTCTTTATTTACCACTTGACATCATCCCCAGCGTTGCTGATGCTAACACAGTGTGACATGAAACTGTTCATGAAGGGACACGATGGCAATGGGCCCGAGCATGTCCTGCCAGAGAGGCACCACCAGCCTCGCACAGCAAGTCCCACCTTGGCTGAGCAAACCTCCCCAAATCCTGCAGCCTGACAACAGCACTGGGAACCCTGGGATAATAGCTAGGATTAAAAGGCGTTAGAGGAAATTGTCACCAGAGAACAGCTGCTTTCACTGGTGTCAGATGAGGCAGAAGTCTAGGCTTCTGATCAACAGATAAAGACGAACATCAGCTTCTTTGTTCCTGACATGGACTTGTTCCAAGGAGTGTGGTTTATCCCAAGCAAATAGGAGCACCACAGCCTACAAGGTCCAGTACAACCAGTTACACAACACTCAGAGGTATTTCCCATCTTATTGGGGCTTCAGGATAGAGCACCAAAAACCCCAAACCAGTCAAGCCATCTGGTTTACTCAGGACACCCAGCACCATTTTGGGGCTGTGCATTTTTGAGCACCATGTCCTGGGAGAGGGTCCCCTGGCCAGTGACATCCATGGGGATGTGGAGAACCCATAACAGCCTCTCCCATATGGAGCATAGGGCCTGGAGCACAGTGTGCAGTGTTTATAGAATCCCACCACACCCTGCAGCTGGGGTATTGGTGCTCATTGCTGCAAGGGCCAAGCGTGAGGAGCTTTCCTGTCTCTGGCAAGGCTGGGTGCTGATGGCCATGTCCACCAGGTGTGAGGGTTCCTATTCCCTGCCAATGCCAGGTGCTGATGGCCATGTCCGCCAGGTGTGAGGGTTCCTATTCCCTGCCAATGCCGGGTGCTGACGGCCGTGTCCCTCACGCATGAGGAGTTTTCCCGTTCCTGCTGATGCCGGGCACCGAGGCCATGTCCCCCAAGTCTGAGGTGCTTCCCTGTCCCTGGTGAGGCTGTGCACTGATGGCTGTGTCCCCCAAGCGTGAAGAGTTTTCCTATCCCTGCTGAGGCCAGGCGCTAATGGCCGTGTCCCATCTGTGGCGAGGCCTGGTGCTGATGGCCGTGTCCCCCAAATGTGAGGCGCTTCCCTGTCCCTGACAAGGCCAGGCACTGATGGCTGTGTCCCCCAGGCATGATGAGTTTTCCAGTCCCTGGTGAGGCCGGGTGCTGACGGCCGTGTCCCCTCCCTCAGGCCGTGCCGCCGCCGCGCAAACCCGCCATGCTGCAGTGCAAACACGCGCAGGAGTTCAGCTTCGGGCCCCGCGCTCTGAAGGACGCGCTCATCTCCACGGACCCCGCGCTGCAGGAGCTCTACGCCAAGGCCTTCTCCAGGGCCGAGAAGCTGTTCCTGTCCGAGGCCTACAACCCCCAGCGCACGCTGTTCTGCACGCTGCTCATCCGCACGGCCTTCGACTGGCTGCTCAGCCACCCCGATGCCCCCGAGGACTTCGAGACCTTCTACCACGCCATGCTGAGGAGGAAGCAGAACTTCTGTCGAAAGCACATTTACCTGCAGCCTATAGGTAATGGGGGGATCTTCAATGGGCTGCCTGGAGAGGCACAGGAGGGCGGTGGGTGATGTTGAGTGCTGCTAACACCCTCCTCTAAGGAGTCACCTGCAAGTGCAATGGCCAGAGCAAAGACAAGTGTAACAGGCAGGGCTCTGACATGCCCCCAGTCCAAAGTCACAAGCCATGGTGGTAGACCTGCCATATAAATGGTATGTGTGCCCCTGGGTGAGGCTCGCTATGAATTTATGCATATATGTATATCAAAGTATGAAACAATGCTGGAAAAACCAGCATTTCTGGAGGTCTGTCTCTGATGGTTCATTAAACACAGCCACCCGTTCCCACGTTAATCATTCTGCACAACTTAAGCAGGAGGAAACCTTCCAGCACATCTGCTCTGCTAATGAGAGCATACTAATGCCTTGAGCAACCTCTTAGAAAGAGCTCCCTCTCCTCCTCTATATCCATAACCACCCAGAGGTGTTCACCACATCCCAGAGTAAGCAATGAGCTCCAGAATGATCCAGCCTGTCCAGTTGCTGTGGCCAGTGCCACAAAACCCCATCAGAGCCTAAAGCTCACCCTGGCTGTGAGGCACTGACAGAGAGCTTCTCCCCTCAGATTTAATCGAAGGCCCCGCTGGGCTCTCGCTGCTGGATTCCCTGCAGAGCTGTGTGGAGTCTTTCTTCCTGGGCCTGCGTGTGAAGTGCCTTCCCTCCATCCCAGTCTCCTCCATCCACTGCTGCTTCCGCCACAGCCGGGACTCGGACAGGGTGCAGCTCCACGCAGGTGAGCCAGGATCAGCAGCAGGGAGTCCACAGAGACACCAGCCTGGCACACGGGCACGAGCTCTGCCCTAGGAAATGCCTGACACAGCCTTCATTGCCTGCGCTGGGAGGGGATGAGGAAGGGAGTGAAAAGGCAGAAATCCTGTTCCCATGGAAAGGCCAGAGCTTTGAGGCTGGAAACAGGAATAAAAAACAAAGTGGCTTTCATCATATTTTCCTCTGCTGTTTGTGTTTTTCACTGCTATTATGTTTAGGTCCAGCTCTGGATCGGATCAGCTCTGCGGGAAGGCTCTGTTGATTTGGTGCAAGTCTGAGTTCTCCCATCCCCTGTCCAGAGCCAAAGTAAATTATTGGCCTGGGTGATGCAGAGGGAGAACTCACAGGCCTTTCATGATAGGAAATTTGGGTTCAAGAGTCACAAGTTCCCCAGGGAACTGGGTTTGCCAGCTGCCCAACTTGCACTGCACAAACATCCACCTGGAATGAGGTGTTTGCAGGTACCATGGGCAGCACACACTCAGCACAGACCCAGCACTGCAGCCCTGGGGCTGTTCCAGCACAGTTCTGAACTGCCTGTAGGGAAATTCTGCTCCCAGGTGCTCATTTCCACGGGTTAGTACTGAATTCATCAGCATCTCTGCTTTGTTTTGACTCTGTGCCCAGCACCACTTCCAAATTCAAGTCCTCTCTGATTTGAGAGATGGGCTACACAGCCACGGTTCTCCACCTGAGATGATGAATCCAGCAGCTCTGCCTGCCTGTGGGCTTGGATTACATCCTCCTCCCCATCAGCAGCAGAAATTCTGGCTCTGTGCCTTCCAGGGATTCCTCATTTAAATGAGCATCTCTCTTGTTTTTGTGCAGATGGGATCCTGAATTTCCTGAAGAACAACAAGCCCATGGATGCCCTGTGTGTCCTGGGACTTACCCTGCTGGACCTTTACCCATGTGAGACCTGGAGCTTCACATTCAGCAAATTCCTGCCAGGACAAGGTGGGCTGGTGTTCCATGGTGATCCAGCACAGTGTGGGAATAAGGCAGCACTGTTCCAAAAGCCCTTCCCTGTGAGACTGTTCCAAAAGCCCTTCCTTAATTGGCTGTTCCCTGGTAAGAGGAACTTTCCCCCAATGTGAAATTAGGAGGATCAGGGCTCCTGATCCAGGCAGAGGTGATACCAGCCTTTTGGGGAGTGGGTCTCACCGCACCCTGTGTGCCCAGCTGGACTGTGCTCCCACAGCTGTATTTTCAGGCTGCCTAAGGTGAGACAGCTGTAAAAGAGCAGATGCCTGACTTTACTCCTCTCTCTTCACAGAAGTGGGAGTCTGCAGCTTTGCCAGGTTTTCTGGGGATTTCCCCCAGGCTGGTTGTAGCAGCCTGAACCCACCCACGCAGAAGGAAGAGCTGTGTGAAGTCAGCAAGGAGGGCAGAGAGAGGACCCTGCAGTTCAGTGCCCAGGAGATGGTGCAGTGCTGTAAGGTAGGACCAGCAACCTCCTGCACCCCGTGCTTCTTCCTGGGTAGGGTTAAATATTGCAGGCCAGGGCACAAAACAGGCCTCAGCCCAGCGAAACAGCCATGAGACTGCTCCCAGAAGCACAGGCAGCCACAGATAAGCCCACACTGAATTCAGACATAAAGAGCTTCCATTTTAGTGCGCTGCATGGACAGCTCCTCCTCCCCTCACCACTGGAGCAAGTGACAACATCAATTATGGGGAGGCTACAGGACTTGTCTCAGAATGGTTTGGGTTGGAAGGGACCTCAAAGACCATCTTGTCCCAAATCCCTACCACAGGCAGAGACACCATCCACTAAACCAGACTGTGTCATGGAGCAGGACTGAAACAGCCCTGCCCAGCTCCCAGGCTCATGCTTGGGTAATCCTGAGTATTTTTCTTGTCAGGCACAGCACGGCTGATAGGGCACTTGAAGGATAATCAGAATATCTGGTGGGGCTGTGTGTAACTAATGGATGGCTGCAAAGGGTGACTCTGTCCTCCTCAGACACTGACATCTGTGAGGGGAGGGGTCCCTGTGCCATCCCTGTTACCTGGATGGAGGAGAAGAATAGAGAATAATATCTCAGCCAAGTCATCTATATAAATGCAGAGCCCTTGAAGCCCCCTCACCTCCAACACATCTCTTCATGAGTGCTGTCCTCCCTCATCCCAACATCTGCCATATTCCAGCTCTGCCTCCAGTGCTCCTCCCCAAGCTGGCCCACACAGAGCAGGCACACCAGCACTTTCAAAGCCACTTCCCTTTGCTCCCCTGGTATTTGCTCAGGATTTTCTAGTTTGAGACCTCTTCCTGTACTAATTTTAAATTATATTAGGTGGCAATTGGAGGAGGAGAGGAGTCCTCCATCCTCAGCCTTTCCACAGTTGCCAATTCCCAAGGCAGTCATGCTTGGCCAGCTGACTCCAGCTCAGTTTTCTGCTTTGGCACAAATGTTAATGGAGTCTGTTCTGGAAGGACTCAGATCTGTTATTGCCAACAGCTTCTTGCACATTTCTCACACAGCCTGTGCTGCTCTTTTCAGGCCTCAGTGGGACTGGTTTTCCTCTTTAAAAATCCCCTAAAACAACAAAAACCACCACATTGTCCTTGAGGAAGAGCAGCAGCAGCACCAAACATCTGCCTACAGGGCTCCCCACATCTGCCTCACCCACCCGTCCTTCTCCCCAACACAAACATGGAGCTGGGAAGAGGCAGCCAGGTTCTCCTGTCACCTCGGACAAGCCTGGGCTGGGGAAGTGCCATTGCTGAGCAGGAGCTTGGTCAGACTGTGGGAGAGCAGGGAAGCAGAGAGCAGAGGAGGAAGAGGAGGAGACAGCAGTAACAGGAATGACCATGCTCACCATGCCCTGCTGCGATCTTTGCTTCCCTGCCAGGTGACCTGCCATGAGATCTGCCACCTGATGGGGCTGGGGACGTGCCGCTGGCTGCAGTGCATCATGCAGGGAGCCCTGAGCCTGGAGGAGGCGCTGCTGCGGCCGCTGGAGCCCTGCCCCATCTGCCTGCGCAAGCTGCAGCACGTCGTGGGCTTCAAACTCATCGAGCGCTACAGGGTGAGCCCCGAGCCCGGAGCCTCCTGCGGCAGGGACAGGACAGGGCCAGGCTGGCTCAGCCCAAACGCCAGCACTGGAGGTGCTGCAGCAGCATGCTGAAGGCAGGAGATCTCAGGAGATCTCAGTGCACGGTGCTGAGGCACCTCACACCTGAACATTGGGGTGTTCTACACAGGCTCTGACCAACAGAGCACCCTGCACACTTCCAGGGATTTTGGGTCTTCCCAGGGGACACTGCCACAGCCCAACCACACTTTCCTACTCCCAAAAACGAGGTGGGAAGGGCAGGCAGATTGCAAGCAGGAGCAGCAGTGAGTGCAGGGATTCCCACAGCTGCGCCCTTTCCTGTGCCACCCTGGATTTCTGCCTCTCTGGGGCTACTGGGGACAGGGAGGAAACATCATGTGTGCACTTTGCTGCAATTCCTCTGTTTAAATTTATGAGAATGGATCCCAAATTATTACCCCCAGTATGTGGAGGGTCCCAAACTCACCTTTTGTCTCTTCTCTCTCACCCATACCACTGCTAACACCACATTTAGACAGATCAGGAACAGTGCTAACACACTCTTAGCTCTTGAAAGGGTTTTCTACCTCTGCTGTCCAAAAAGCAGGATTCAGTAGCCAAATGGTTGGTGGAATAGAAATAATGTCCCCATTCTCACTCAGCACCCATCTTCTCCCTGGCTGTGATTCCTGTCTGACACACATCATGCTCAGAGGCAGGATTTTCCTCACTGCCTATTTTAAAGTCTGTGGGTTGTATTTGTAACAAGATAGGAGCAGAATGAGAAAGGAGATGCCTCTGGTTTCATTCAGCATGGAATCAGATCCACAGAAGCATGGCAAAGACTGTAGGGAAACACACACTTCTTATGGTTTTCCAACTTATCTGTGCTGCTGCCAGACCCTTCTCTGACTCTGTGGCTCTTTGGTCCCTACTTTGTCTGAGACGTGTCTAAATTGCCCAGACCACCAGAAGATTCAGCTTAAATAAAGCAAATAAATTCTGCTTTATTTCAACACCCAGCCTGTCAGCATCCAGCCAGTGCTTTCTAGAAGAGAATGGCCACCTGCATTCATCTTTTCTAGACATATTTTTGCCTTTACACCTGCAGCAAATACTGTAATTGGCTCAGCATCCTCTGAACACAAACCTTAAGGAATGATGCACTTGCCAAATGTCACATCTGCTTCCTTGAGAAGGCAAAGCTCCTAAGCTGGTGTAAGACAGCTGTGATAATCTCTGTAAGAGGCTTTGCCATAGTGTTGAGAGGAGATATAAATGCCAGAGATGAATTAAATAGTTAAGGAACAGGACAGAAGAGGGCAGAAATCATTTGGAGACAATAACAGAGAGCAAAGTTAACTTGCCAAGCACGTTAAGTGTAAGTCTGAAGTCACATTTCCTCTTGGAAACAATCACAGATCCCCACCTGCCACAAAACAGCTTCAGACACTCCTAAAAACCACAGGAAATGCCAGAACCAAGCTGTGCCTCAGCAGCAGCAGGTAGCACTGCTCAGATCTGCAACTGAGACACAGTTTGGGGCAGGAAACCAGTCCTTAGGCAGCAGAAAGAGCTCCTCAACTTATTTATCTGAGTTGTACTCAGAACCACACTCCATTTTTTATCCCAGCTGATTATTCCAGCATGAGTCATCTTGAAAACTGAAAGCCAGTTAATTATCCTGGTGTTTCCCCACCACAATCAACATTTCCACATTTCCACCTGCTGCTTGTGCAGCATCCCAGGCTGTCCTCACATGGTGGCTGGATGAGTTTGCAGTGGCCACACACACAGAGACAGCAGGTCTCAGTGACATCCTCGGGGTGGACATCCACTTCAGCTGCTCTTGCCTGCAGGTAAACAAAACCCACACAGAGCTCATCCCTTCCTGGTCAAACAGGAGAACATAAGAGGCTGCAGCCCTTCAAAGCCACCCAAAGTTCAAATGAAAAAGCCACCCAAAGGATGGGAGAGATTGAAGAGATTCTGGGAATTCAGGCAGTGATCCTGAGTAGATTATCCCCTTTTTTTTTTTGCCTTGGACAGCCCAAATGTACTGTTGGAAAATCCACATCTCCACAGCCTTTTTTATTCCTGGGAATTGGGCTAAGTAGCAATTGGGATTCCTTCCCAGATTCACTATTCTTGGGAATGTAGAGCCATTACAAAATCTTGGTACAGCTTTCCAGTACTTTGCTGTCCCCTTCACTAGCCCAGCTCCCTCTGCAGCTTCTGGCACTGCCTTTGTTGGAAAAGCCCAGAGGGAGGGAAGGCCCACTGGAGGTGGGACCAGGCAGGAGAAAAATTGTCCCTTTTCAATTTTTCTTGCCCCAGAGGGAGGGGACAGGGTGGATTAGCTAAGCTGAAAGAGTCCATTTTATTCCTGTACAGAATTCTTCCCCGAGGCTCCATGCTCAGACTGAAATGGGAAGCAGGGCTGATTTCTCCCACCCACTCAATTTGAGCTCTTTATCCTTTCTGTCACTTGCCTGAAGAGACAGCAATAGAGGAGGGGAGGAGGAGGGGGGTCTGGGAGGGAAGGGAGCTGCACAGGGCTGGGAATCTCCTGCCTGCTCCTCAAACACTGCAGCTCCCCTGAGCTGAGCAGGGACGGATCCAGCTCCGTGCTGGCACACCGTGGGGACAGCCCAGGCTGATCCTGTCACTGCTGAGCCACTGGGGGCTCTGCAGATGGATCACTGGGAGCTACAGAGAGTAAAGGAGAACAAATAGGCCACAGGAGTGTGAGAAACTGAAAAACACACATAAAAAACCTCAACACTGGCAGCAAGGCAGACAAGTTCACCTTTTACCTAGGATAACTGGAGTACTGTGGTTCATTCCCTAAAGCACAAGGAACAAATATGCCAGGAGCAACCTGTTATATGCCTCATTGTGGCATTTAATATTTAAAAAGGAAATTGTCCCAGACATTTTCCTTTCATTAATTCTTTCCTAGAATCAGCCTTCCCACTTGTTCATTTCAGCTCAGGAGGGGAAGAGCTATTCTTGGGAATAAAATACACATTACCACAGGCAGTAACAACATGATGAAATACAATTCTTCACCACTATCTGAGGAGTTTCTATAATGACACACTTTCCTCTGGAGAGGTGTTGGTTTGCCTCTCCTAGAGACCACATTCACACAGCAGGGAGTGATCTGGTGCAGTTTTCTCCTTACCACCTTCAATAACAGGGCAGATTAAGTCCACATCTGACTGGAGGCAGCTCTGCCACAGTCCAAATGGGACAAGAGAAAGCTCCTGCTTTGTAGGGTCACCAGGAGTTGTCTGACCCCATTGTCTGGCAGAGAGGACTGTGGCAGCAGCAGCTGAGCCACCCAAGACAAACAGGTTTACCTGGCAAACACAGGGAAGGTGTAACTGCACATCTCATCCTCCACAATGAAACCTTTCTCCTCTCACACAGAAGCTGTATGCCTGGACACAGACCGTGCTGTCCACGTGGCCAAGGCAGGAGTCAGCAGAGCTCTCAGCCTCCGAGGACCTGCTCCCGTTCAGCTCCGACTCCGGGATGTGCTGCGAGAACGACTCCGAGGCCGTGACCTCCCTGTCCGAGCCGCTGACCCCCGACACCTGCAGCCAGGGCCTGTCCCTGGGGCCAGAGCTGGAGCAGGACGAGCAGCCCAGCTCCCTGCAGGAGGGGCAGGGCCAGCCCCGGCCCCCCGGGCACACCAAGGCCACGGACAGCATCAAGGATTACGAGCTGTGGCTGGAGATGTGCATCGCTGCCCTGGAGAGGAACGTCTCTGAGGAGGAGCTGGCTCAAGTGGACAAGAGTGTGGACGCCCTGGCTAAGTGGGAAATGTTCACAGGCCAGCTGCCTGCTATCAGGAAGGACCTGCCCTTTGCTAGGGACAGCACTGGGCTACGCAAAGTTCTTGGAGACAAATTTTCCTCCTTGCGGAGGAAGCTGAGTTCCAGAAAACTTTCCAAAGGGGAATCGTCCCCTCACCGCTGGCGCTGGGAGGACAACTAGGCTGGGGCTGCCTTGGGCCAGCTTTGCTCACCCCACTGCTTCCAGCCTTCCTCACCCCAGGCTGTTTCTGTCTCAGAGAAACAGCAACTCCCCCCAGGAATAAAAGGTGTTTTGATTTCTGAGATTGCTAACACAGTTTTGATGTGATTAGTTCTTCTCCAAGGGTTTTTGCTGTGTTGGTCTAAATGACACCACCAGTCCACACCTATCTCAAGTCCCATGTAGGTGCTTTTGTTTTCTTGGTCTGAAGCTGGCCAGGAAGAGCTCAGCCAGGTCCCCACTAAAGACTGAACATGCTCACACAGGAGCTTGGGCCATCTGAACAAACAGATACCAACAGATTAAACCAGGGCAGCTCCCCCACACAGAGAGCTCTTCTCTGCTTAGCAGTCAGTCCCAGGCACAGATGAGATTTCCCCCTCAAACGCTCAGAGTGCTCTGCTCGCTGTCCCACCAGCTGGAGGTTGTGCTGAGCACAGGAGCACAATCCAGGCTGATGGACTCTCATTATGAGCTGAGGGAGAGGGAGGAGATGGGCACAGAGAAAACGAGAAAGATCCCTGGCAGCTCTGCCCCAAAGAGCAGCGTTAGCCTGACAACTGTCTCTTGGCAGACCCTCAAAAGATCTCCTGAGATGCCTCAGTTCAAACAAAGCCAGGCTTGGAGCATGAGCTGGAACTACCCACATCCTCTGTGGATTGGCACAGGAGAGGAAACCTTTGGAAACATTTACAGACTCATTGGTTATGAATGTAAAAGGGGAACCACACGTGTGTTCCCCTTTCTGCCTTGGGAAGTGACCACCGTGGCGCTTCCCTCTTCCCACCGAGCAGGACTGGGTGCTGTGCTGGCACCCAGAGAGCAAAGCCTCCCTTCCCATGGCCAGGGCACGCTGCTCCTCTCTGCTCCTCCTGCTATTTATAGCCCGAGCTGGAGAGGCTGATGGGGAAGGCTGACCCCTCTCCATCCCTGCTCCCTCAGCCCTGAGCACTGATAACGCTCCCACAGCTCACGGCAACGTGGCTGAGCTCCAAATCTCTCCTGGCTAAAAATACCAGCAGGTAGCATCAGATTCGGTGCAGCTGGGAGCAAGGGGAGATGTTTCCCTCCGAGGAGGCAGCAGCAGCTTTGGCTTCCCGGAGCACTTTGGGGCCCCCACCCCATCAGGGCGGTTCTGCAGCAGGAAACAGGAGGACAACTGGAAGACACTGGAAGAAAACTCCGGAGATTTACACACGCAGGTGAGTAGCAAAGATGGTCTTGCAGTAAATTCAGCTGGGTTCCGGAAACACAAGCGTTTCACATCCGCATGATTCATGCCGGGAGAGAAAGGGAGTTTGGCTCGGGGACTGATGACGGCAATTCCTGGAAACATTTTCCAGCAGAGCCGCGGCTGCCGCCCTCTCCTGGCAGCCACAAAGGTGACGGCTCCTCATCCAAGGCATTCTTCCCAGCAGCAGAAACCTTCCAAGCAAACCCTGCTTGAATTACAAATCCCAGCTCTGCCCCCGAACTCGCTCAGTTGTTGCCTGAACACATTTGCTATTTTAAGCAAGAGATTACTCTCTGTTCAGCCTTGTTTGCTCCTCCTTGATTCTGTGCTGAGTTATTGGGCTGAACTTCAGAAACTTCCCAGAAAGAGGCTCAGGATGACAACCCTGCCCAAGGGAGCAGGGGCAGCTTCCCATCACAAAATTCCAGAGACAGCAGAGGAGTGGGGTGGCACAGAAGGGCTGGCAGAAGTCACAGATGGAGACTCCTTGTGACACCTGGCACATGTGAGTGCTGCTGTGAGAGCAGGAATTGCTGCTGAGAGCTCTTGTGACAGCAAATGGGTATTTTTGACACCATCACCGCCACCACTTACCTGCTCAGCTTGTGCACAAGTGCTGCAGGTAAGTCATAAATGAGATGGAAACTCAGAGCTTCACCTGGGCAGCTCAGCAGTGCCCACAGGCAAGGGGCAGAAAGTGGCTGAAAACACTTGGAAGTTCTTCAGCAGCTGGAGGAGAAAGTCCCTGCAATATTCCACTGCAGGTTTGGTCATGTGAAGACATTACTCCTCTTCACAGCAGCAAAGGTTTCCTGCAGGGTCTGTGAGCAGCCCTTTCCCCCAGCCCACAGCAGTGAAAGGCCTGGAGGCAGCTGGGTCACAGAGGAACAAACCACTGCCCCAGGTTACACTGAAAATGAAGGTTATAACCAGAACCAAAGCACAAAGGCACAGCTCCTACCTCTCTCTGCATGTACCAGAGCTGCAGGGGGGGCAGACAACAGCTGGCACAGGAATAAGCAGTCGGCCAAACTGAAGGTAAGCCCCTAAATGAGATTTCCTGCATGTTAAGCAGCAGGTTCCTGGGGAAATCCTTCTACTTGGAAAGGTGTGGGGACATATTTTGCAGCTAATGAGCAGCTGAGTAAGCTGTGAAACAGAAATCCAGATGAGATAATTAGGAGTCACTCTAAAAGGTCAAGCTGTGGATCAACCATCAGGAAGGAGCAGGGTGCTCTCTATATAAATCCAACATGCAGAAATCACTTGCAGGGCAGCAGCCAGGCCTGGGGCTGGTTACAGAAGGCCCAGGAGCAGTTCCTGTGTGAGGCAGGCAGGTCTGGGTGCTCCCTGAGCAGCAGCTCAGCCACAGCCTGGAGAGCCTTTGGCAGAAGAGAGGCAGGGGAAGGAAAGGGGCACTCAGATGGGCAGGGACAGAGGGACACAGAGGGACACAGTGCCAGCAGCCTGCCCCAGGCTCCATGGGCATGGCCCAGGGCCCTGGAAGGCACTGCTGGTGCTCCTCTGGCTCGTGGTGACAGGCAGACCATGAATCCTGCACCTGAGCCACCTTCAGGAGATGCCCCAGCAGAACCAGCACCTCCTCCTGTAGCTGCTGCTGGGTCCCATGTAACAACCCCTAAAACCCAGCACAGATCCATGCTGGGCTCCTGTGGCTCAGAGCATCTCCCAAACCACACCATCCTGTGGCCACCTGCAGCACCCTGCCCCACCAAGGCAGCCCAGCCTCACCCTTCTGCCCCAAGCTCAAGGACACTTGTTTTGAAGCAATTTCTGAAGTCTAATGCTGAACATAGTAAAAACCAGGCTTTTAATAGCTTTACGAGCTCATAAAGACAAATATCTTCTCCCAAGAATAAACAGGCAGAACATTCCACTGCTGCTCTGCAAACAAGGACTTGCTGGAGCTGAAGGGAGAGGGGAGACAAAGGCACTGTCCAGAGGGAAAAAAACCCAGCACAATTAAAAACTCCATGCTCTTTACTAGTTAGGGGTGCAATTACCTCCAACAGTTTGCAAGGGTGGGAGAGGAAAAAGCAGCACATACATTTCATCAGCATGATCACTTTGTGATTTAACAGTGGCTGTGACCACCTCTCCCCTAAAAATGGAACTTCTCACTGAAATCTGCTTCTGCTGTGCAACACTGAGGCTTTAAGGGAAAGCTACTTTTGGTAAAAAATCCCTGAGCACTCACCCTAATTAACCCTTCCTGCCTTAACACCACACAGCTTCCTAAGATCCAGTCAGTCCTGGGAAGAGTGGCAAGAAATTTGGGATTAGTAACTGAGCAAACTTCCTCCCAGTCTGTAAGGATAATGAGATACCAGGCTGGAGCTAGAGACCACAAGGATTTATTTAATTTCTCTCCTCAAAGAGTTCTAAGGAATACTTTAATATTACTACAACCAGCCCAAACCTTACACCTTGTACACTTGAGCAAAAACACAAGCTATACTTTGCATTTCAGAACAGCCTCTCCCTGGGGAAACAGACATGCTTTCTCTTTTATCTTCAGTGTTGGATTACTGAAATTGCAGAAGAGATACTCTGGTTGTGAGCAGGGAGTTGTGCTGCTCCTGGGAAGGTAATTCCAAGACAATTTATGGAGTTTGGGCTCTCCCTGGGGCACAAGCACTCATTGGCACTGAACAAACCCACCTGCAGAACCAACTGCTGCAGCTCTGCTCTTATGGAGCAGCATCTGCACAGCTGAGCCAGGGAAGGGCATCCCACAGCAACATCTGGGCTCCAAAAGGGCCACTCTGCTCCACAGAGCTCACCAAAGAGATCCCCTGGAGCTGCTGCTGAGAGCTTTTCAGGTTACACTGATCACACCTGGGCACCTTCTGCTACAGCAAACTGAATTTGCAATTGCTGCTCAGCACAGATGCTGACCACTGGCAATAAACCCCACCTGAAAGGGCCCCCAGCTCCAGGGACAGAGGCAGCCACTCCTGATGCAGCTCAAGAGCTGCAGTTGTTGATAGAAAGGACCAAAAATGCTCCATGAAGTGTTTCAAGCTGTGCACTGGCAGTGGAAATGACTTGGCACTAACAGGTTACACCAGAAACAATCAAACTGGCCACAAAAATCTGCCAGATGTGACCTTTGGAAGTGAGGGAGGGTGAGGTTAATGGCATTCCCAAGAGCTCTGGCAGCACAGGAGGGCAGTGCTGTGTGACAGGGACACTGGTGACCCTCAAAGGTTCTGCTGTGCTCCCAGACAGGGCCTGGCCCTGGGGAAGGCCAATGGCTATTTATTAGCCCCCATGGCTATTTATTATCACATCCTACACAGCACTGAGGGATCTCCAACAGGTGCTCCCATCTCTACAGGCCCAATTCTGTTCCCTTGCTGAGCCCACAATACATCAGCAAAGTCCAGCTGTGCCTCCCCTCCCACCTCCCAGCAGTGCAAATCCCCCAGCCCCAAATGAAGGAGCTCCAAGTTTCACCCAGGTTAATGAGCCACCAGCCTGAGCTCCTGGACACACTCAGAAGAATGATTCCAACCAGGACTGGAGGAGTGGGAGATACCTAAAGGTTACAGACTGAGATTTCATGGCACTTCCATCCAGTCCATGCTGCTGTTTGTTTAAAATGCAACTCCCTCACAGAAAAAAAATGTAATAAATAAAAAAGTCACCTCAAAATCTGTTGAAAGATAAAACCCATAGGAACAGTATAACAAGTCAAGTTTTAATAGATTTATAAAATTCATATATACAAAACAGTAAACTAAGTCACCAAAGCTATAAAATACACTTTTTACACATCACAATATAATTTTATCTAGTACACAGTTTTCATAAGTTGAAACTATG